CTTCAATAATTTTTACTTCAAAGACATTGACATAAAAAAGTATCCGGAGTTGTCATCTGTCATTAAGTTAGTTCTGATTCTGAGTCATGAACAGGCATCGATTGAACGGGGGCTTAGTGTCAGTAAGGATGTTGTTACTGACAATATTTCAACAGGTGATATTGTTGGGCAGCGCATTATGTGTGGTTTCATGCTTACCAACAACCTCAATCCTCACACTCTCCAAATCACATCAGAAATGAAAGCTGCTTTTAAATTTGCACATCAAAATACCAACTCATGCTTGAAGAAGAGAAGTCAAAGAATAAAAAACATGCAATGCTAAGTCAGAAATCTATTATTTTGTTTGAAACTGAAGAAATAAAATCTCAAATAGGCCTCCTTACATAAACTTCATTAATGCTAGAAAAAGTGGTAGTTTTGAGTGTGGAACGAAAACAAAAACAATATATCATTGGTCAGCAAAGCGAATGCTTTAAAAAGGAAAAATGATGAGAAAATGAAAGACGTTGCTAGGTTAGAGGGAAAATTGTTATAGAGGAAAAGAGAAAGAAACTGAAATAATAATTTTTGCTTTTTGAAAATTTGTTTGTTGACATAAAAAATTATTTATGATGATATTTATGCAAATATGGTTAGTTTGCAGTTTTGCTTTGATTGTTTTTTGCTTAATAAAAGATTTTGCTTAGATGTTCTGTGTGTTTAATGGATGACATATGATGAAGTAAACCTTTTTAATTGTTTTGTTGTACTGTGCTACTTTTAACTGAAGATATTGTTGGATTAGCAAAGGTACAGCTACAAATAGTGATAACAAAGGCACAGTTAAAAAAGGTGATTACAAAAGTATAGCTAAAAATAGTGATAACGAAGGTACAGCTACAAATAATGATAACAAATGACTAAACCAAAATAGTCTCTGCTATAGACCAACTATTGAATAATATATTGAAAGATATTGTTTACAACTTTATATTTAATAAATATTTCAGTTAATTTTTGTATGAAAGATGATTTAAAAATAATTTGTGTGCGCAATTTTTAGTTTTTTTTTGAAGATCACCTGAAACTTATATTTTTCTCAAACCTATTTTTTACTTTGTGTTCATTCATAGTCAATATAAATAATAAGATCCATAATAACATGTATAATAAAATCCATACTAACATTTAGTACTAAATAAATACTATAAATTTTTAGCATAATAAATATAAAATTTATGAATGTTTGTTGCTTTATTTAGAATTATTTACCATTAGTTGCTATTAAAGGGTAAATATTTTTTACCAATTATAGAATACAATACCCATTATTCTGTTTAGGTTAAAAGCTATATATCAACAAACAAGTGCTTTACATGTATTGAATTTGGAAATTGAAATAAACAACAACATGAACTTGTATGTTTGCAATTTTTCTTACTACCTTTTTACATTTAGTTTTTCATTAAGATGTGGTAAGTTGAGAGTTATTCCTTTTGCAGAAATGTTGAAACTATAGAAATAATCTGCGCTCTTGATATTAAATTCTTACATATAAGAAACGCCTAATGTTTCATTCTTTTTTTTTTTCACTTTGATTTAACCATACAAAAAAGCCGCACAATTTTACCCTCTGGTACTTTTTTTTTTTTTTTCGCACTCAAAAACTTTAGAAAACATTTAAATTTTAATATTATATATATATATATATATATATATATATATATATATATATATATGCGATTCTAGATTGAGATTACCATGAGCAAAGAACGACCGCTGAAGAAACCTAGGTTTTTCATTACGAATTTTTTGATTAAAAAACCTCCTATTTGTTTCGATGATACACTTTGTACTTCTGTAGCTTTACCCGTATTTGATTGCAGTATAAATAAACCTTTTGAACCAACCAAATTCTTCTCATAATCTTATACTTGTACACTTATTCAAACGATGCTAACAAAAACCGATAACGAGGCATACAAAGATAATTCTCATCCAGCCAGTAATGATATTGCTTGTGTTTTTTCGGGTGACGTAAGAAATATTGAATATGTGAAAAAACTCAATGATTTAGAAAAAAAGAAATTGATGACTGAAATCGGATGCCGGATTCTTCTTTTGAAAAAAGGCAACATATATTTCAAAAACGGTTCAAAATGAACTAATAGACATTTGTGGTCAAATTATAACAGAAAATATAATTAAAGAAGTTAAAATTGCCAAGTACTTTTCGGTGATTGCAGATGAAACGACTGATGTTTCTCATCACGAGCAGTTATGTGTATGTATTCGTTTTCTGTGTTTGCTAATGATCTTAGTGGTAAAGGGTTAGGTGAACTAATTATTCAAACTCTGAAAAGACATTATGTGAAAAGATAATGGTGTCCAAGAGCACGTAAAACAGGTGGCTCCATTCGCAGTCTTTGTACATTGCAGTAGCCACTTCCTGAACTTAGAAATAAGGGATATGTTTAGGACTGTTAAGAAATGCACAACTTTTATAAACGATTCTATCAAAAGAAGGGAGATATTAGAAAAGTTTTTGCAAGAGTCGGAAAGTTCTGTTTCATGTTTAAAAAGTTTTAGTGAAACACGTTTTGTTGAGAGGCATGATTGCTTACGTATTTTCTATCAAAATTTCATTAATATTGTAAAATTTTTAGAGGAAATTGTTAATAAACTTGACAGTAAAACTGCAGACACGGCAAGAAGTCTGTATGAAGGTGCCTGTATGATCCGGTTGTTATTGTAGCACTTTGTTGCGCCAAAAAACTTATGGCATTAACCGTAACATTGTCTAAGTTATTGCAAACAGTCAATAACGAATTCATTGGTGCATTAAATGCGATAAACTTTGTGAAAAAGTCACTTTTAACATGGCGCTGTGATGAGAATGAAATCTGGATGAATGCTGATTTCGGCCCATTCAACAACGCTAATTATTTAGCAAATGCTTTAAATATAGCCTTAGTGACTCCTCGTGTTGTAGGCAATTGCATAGAAACAACATCCCTGCTGAAAATGCATGCCAATATTATAAAAGAGCAATTTGGTTTCCGTACCTAGATTCAGTGGTTCAACCTATAGATGCACGGTTTTTAAACCACCAGCAACTAGTTATGAAAATGTCTGCTCTGTTACCATCAGTGATTTCTCAACATAGCTGGACTGATGCGGTTGAAACTGTAAGAACGTTTTCTTCTGTAATTGTGTATCGAGACGAGGAAAGTATTCATAATGAATATTTGGAGTGGAAAGAATTTTGCTCGCATATGCAAAGCCATCCTTCAACTTTATTAGCTGCTTTAGATCTAATTCCTGATAGGTATAATTTATAAAAAAAAATACTATATCAGTTTAAATCTCTGTTGCTTATTAACTAAATCTGTTAATTTTATTTTATAGATTGGCAACCATCAAGACACTTCTTTGGATTTTCTTTACCATTTCAATCATAACATGCTGAACGGAGCTTTAGCGCCATGAATATTTTAAAAAGTCCTTGCGTAACCGAACCAATGATAAGCGTTTAACTGGCTTGGCATTATTATATATTTATAGCACCATGCCTTTAGAAGTAAACGACGTAATTGATAGATTTGCAGCTATTAAGAAGAGATGCTTAGATTTTGCATTGTAGATTTTGTACTTAATTTATTTATTAAACCTACCCAGACAGCAAGCTTACATTGGCCCAATGTAAGTTTTAACATTGGCAAGTTTATTCCGTTGGGCCAACATTTAGCCAATGTTTTTTTTCGGCGTATTATTTTCAATTTTGCAAGTCGGTTTTTTGCAAATATCGTTCAATATTGGGCCAACATTTAGCCAATGTTTTTTTTCGGCGTACTACAAATCGGTTTTTTGCAATTTTCGTACTACGTTGGGCCAATATTTGGCCAATGCAGTTTAGGCTTAATATTTTGTTATACCGTAGCCAATGTAGTTGCGGATTAGTATATACTTTAGAAACATTTTTAAAAATGGTATCGTTTGACAGAAAAAAAAAGGTTTTGTTTTCATTTTTTTTTTTAATTATCAAAAGAAGAAGCTATATTTATTAATTTTCTAAGAACCATAAAAGCTTCCTTATAAGAAATAAACTTCAAGAGGTTCTCGTAACTTGATGTTTTGTTTTTTTAAATAATAAAATATTTGTTAACATTTAAACAATATGCTTAAAACTTTGTGTAAGATCTTAAATTTATTATTTTATTTTTATTACTCTATTGGCATTTCAAATGTTTGATTTATTAAATATTCTTAACTAAATAAATGAAACAATTCAAATGTTCGATTTATTTAATAAAGAAGACATTTTAAATGTCTTCTTTATTAAATAAATCAAACATTTAAAATGTCATACAGTATAAGTTTTTTTTTTCATAATTTATTTATAATAGTTTAGATTATATAGCTATTATGAGATATATTATTAAAGGTATCAATAATATATATGTGGCATTGTTGATGCCATTGTCAATGCCAATGTCAACTCAATGCCCTTAAAGTTGTTAAAAGCTGATATTTTACATTTTAAATATGTCTCTTTTGTTTGATTTTTTTCTGTGTTTAATTATGAAACCCCATCTACTAACATATTAAAACAGTGTACAAAAGGTGATGTTACTAGAATTTATAGTCTACGTATGTAGAGCTTTCAAATATTCCATGTTTCTGAGGTTTAACTATTTTTTAATTTAACAATTTTGGCTATTTTTCATATTTAGTTTGCGTACAGCAATTAACAACTTTAAGCTTATACATTATCTTTAGTTATAACTTAATTATTAATGATTTGATTTATAGATTTTTAAAGCAATACAAGATTGAATTTAGCAGAAGGCTAAATTTCTGCTCTGGAGACAAAAAAGGAAGACAGCGAAAATGACCAGTCAAAATAAAGATTAAAGAGACAAAAAATTGTGTATATCTTGGTGTAGATGATTTATCTTCATTTTGTTATAATAAAACAAAAAATGTTATTAAACTTTGGGATTTACCTGTAACTCCAAACTCTTTACAGAAGTTCAATGTTTGCTCTGAGAAGTTGAATGAACAAATTTATTAAATGGTAAGTTTTTATATAAAAGTCTTTATGTCTGATGATTGAAAATCTTTAATCATAGCTTTAGCTTTTACAACTTTAAAAACTTTTTCATATATTACGGTCAAAAAGTCATAGTGTTAATTAACATTTTATTGTGTAATAATCAACATATCAAAGCTTGGTCGGCAAGCGAGAGCGATCCCTCTCTAATATTGACCACGGAAAAACTGGCCAAGTTTTCTATTCGATTTAACATAACAAAAATTTTTTGTTGGATTTTAAAGTTGATGTCACCAACTTTGAAATCTATTTGAATTCAACTGTTGAAAAAAACAACAAAGTATTCATATCAGTTTAAAGTTTTAACAGTTGCTGGTGGTTCATTATTATTCATTATATAAACGTTTATTTAAATTTATATAATAGACGAAGGTAATACAATATTTTTATAGATGATATTATTTTTAAAAACTGTATTATTAAAATTCAGAATTAAAATATGTAAAAAAAATTATTTACAAACATTGGACAACTTTATATTTCAAATAACCATACTTTTTATGAAAGTGAGGTTATTTAAAATGAATATTTTTTTTTAGAAAAAGATAAAATTATAAGATAAAATAAAGATTTTTTTTGGATAAAAGAAACAATTTTTAGATAAAATAAAAATAAAGTTTTTTACAGGAGAAATGTTTTTCATTCTCTTGTAAAATTTTAATTTTGTGACGTCACATTTTCAAAATACAGCACTCAATTAAGCTATTATGTTTTTTTTGATGCTACCCATTTAATTTTTCTGAAACTTATGTTTTTCTTAGTGTTCGTTCTTAATCATCCTTAATAATAAGATCCATACTAACATGTATAATAAGCTCTATATTAATATCCAACTTAACTAATAGCTAAGTTTTGTAAGTTTTGTCATTGAAAGCATGTACAATCTTAGCATTTCCATTACAGTAGATAGTAATTTTAAACATTTTGTAAAAATGATTGTTAAAAATGGTCAGGGAAATTCATCTGATTTTTCAAAAAAGTCATTGATTTTTATATAAATTGTTGGCTACGAACCCTGTTGGAGAAACATTGTTTTAATATGAATTTTTTTGTTGTAGATGCAATCTGTATTTTATAAAAAACACAAAACAATTCTCGTTAATGTGTAAGCTTAAACCTTAACAAAAATTGTTTTGTGTCAGTGCCAGAAATTAATTTCATAATTCATAAAAATATTATGAATCCATTAGCAAGTATATATTTTTATCATTAAAAATTTGACTCTCTTTCTTTAATTTTATCTGTTTTATTAGTGATTGTTGTATTTACTTTGATAAATTCTAAATATAATATGTAATTAGTTGTATAGTTTCTTAATAATATAATTAACTTTAATGTTCAAGATAAAGTTGTATCCTTGAAAGATATGCTGGTATTATTGGCACAATGGGCAAGCATTGAAGTGCAACTTGGTGAAATACAAAACACATCAAATTCAGTTATAAAAATTTGAGTAACAAAGGTAATATTTTTTTATGATCTGTTTAGGCATTTTGTATGATATCATAATACAACTTATATAATTTAAATAAAGTACTCTTTGAAGATTTCTTGTAAATGACATTTTATATTAATTTAAGTCTAAATAAAAGTTACTTTAATTATTGCCAGGTTGTGTATTTTTGCAGGTCAATTATTTGGCACAATTTGGAGTTAATGACACTAAAAATTACTAAGAATTGTTTTTTAAAATGGCATAGCTGTAAAATTAAACTATACAGGGAGAGGACAAAAAGTTGGAATAGGAAAAATGTTGATTGCATATGTTGCTATTGGTAATTGGTTTAGAAAAGTTTATTTTTTCAGTCTCAATTTTGCATTACAGAAATAATTTAAATTTGTTATGTTTCTTTGGTGCATAATTGAACAAACAACTATTTTTTTTGTAGAAACTGTGAAGTCAAATAAGCATGGCTTATGCAGACATGTGATAGAGATAGTGAAAGAAAAAATAATAATAGTGGGTACCAAATATCATAAGGTAAACACGATTCAATAACAAGTAGCTCAGCCAATATCGAAACTACTCTATAAATTTTATAGTGAATTTGAAACTCAATGTGTCAGTTTTTGGTTTAAGTTTGGTGTTTGCAATGTGTATATTTAACCGAGAAATTATGTTAAATAAATAAATTTTTATACTTGTATCATACATTCTTTTTTTTCTCTATAAATTTTTAATGTAGCGATGCAAATCATCTTATTTGTAACAACGATCTAATGTTGCATAAAACGTTAGGCCGATATACGATATGCGATATTAGGCCAATGTTGTATACAACGTTAGGCCAATTTTGTATACAACGTTGGGCCAATGTTGTATACAACGTTGGGCCAATGTTGTATACAACGTTGGGCCAATGTTGTATACAACATTGGCCTAACGTTATATACAACGTGGGGCCAATGTTGGGTAAACGTTGTATACAACATTGGGCCAATGTTGTACACAACGTTGGGCCAATACCTAACCAATGATCAAACCTGCATTGGGCCAACATCGATTTTCAACGTTGGGCCAATGTATCATCATGCATTGGCCCAACGTTGGTCCAATGTAAGCTTGCTGTCTGGGTATTAGTCTAAAAAAAAAAGTGAAATTATTTTCCGAGGAAATGTAATTATCTATATAAGAAACTAACTCCCCATAGTACAACTCCAATACTATCAGTCGATATCTTTTTATTCGTAATTTCCAAAAAAGTTACACTAACCACTTTTGGTATCAACATCCCCCCCCCCCCCACCAAAAAATCCTGGATCCGTCACTGTCCTTTTGGTAATCAGTTTACTATATCAAAACACACTTGTGGAAATCAGGTTAAAGATTTATTCTTATAGCTTATTATGCTACAATGGTTTGTAATCTCTTATTACTATACCCCAGACAGCAAACTCACATTGGACCAAAGTATTGGGCCAATGCATGATGATGCATTGGCCCAACGTTGAAAGTCAATGTTGGCCCAATGCAGGTTTGATCATTGGTCCAATGCAGGTTTGATCATTGGCCCAATATTGTGTACAACATTGGCCCAATGTTGTATACAACGTTTACCCAACATTGGCCCAACGTTGTATATAACGTTAGGCCAACGTTGTATACAACATTGACCCAAGGTTGTATACAAAATTGGCCTAACATTGTATACAACATTGGCCCAATATCGTATGTTATATATTGGCCTAACGTTTTATGCAACATTAGATCGTTGTTACAAATAAGATGATTTGCATCGCTAAATTGAAAATTTATAAAGAAAAAAAAAGTATGTATGATACAAGTATAAAAATTTATTTATTTAACATAATTTATCGGTTAAATATACATATTGCAAACACCAAACTTAAACCAAAAACTGACACACTGAGTTTTAATTAAAAAAATTCACTATAAAATTTATAGAGTAGTTTCGATATTGGCTGAGCTACTTGTTATTGAATATTGTTTAGCTTATGATATTTGGTGCCCACGATTATTATTTTTTCTTCCTCTATCTCTATCACATGTCTACATAAGCCATGCTTATTTGACTTCACAGTTTCTGCAAAAAAAAAATAGTTGTTTGTTTAATTATGCACCAAAGAAACATAACAAATTGAAAGTAATTCTGTAATGCAAAACTGAAACTGAAAAAATAAACTTTTCTAAACCACTTACCTATAGCAGCATATGCAATCAACATTTTTTCTATTCCAATTTTTTGTCCTCTCCCTGCATAGTTTAATTTTACAACTAGGCCATTTTAAAAAACTATTCTTAGCAAATAAAATATACAATCTCCTTTGTCTTTAACTCCAATTTGTGCTAAATAATTGACCTGCATAAATACACAACCTGGCAATAATTAAAATAACTTTTGTTTAGACTTAAATTAATATAAAATGTAATTTAAAAAAATCTTCAAAGAGTATTTTATTTAAAGTATATAAATTGTACTAAGATATCATACAAAATGCATAAAAAAATTATAAAAAATATTTACCATTTACTTACGTATTTTCTTTTCTTCCAGAGTACTTGAATTCTTAACTGCAATGACACTCTTTCAGGCAATACAATAATTAGCATACCTTTGTTACTCAAATTTTTATAACTGAATTTGATGTGTTTTGTAGTTTACCAAGTTGTACTTCAATGACGACTAAGAATGAACACTAAGAAAAGCATAAGTTTCAGAAAAAATAAATGGGTTGCACCAAAAAAACATAATAGCTTAATTGAGCGTTGTATTTTGAAAGTGACAAGTCACAAAATTAAAATTTTACAAGGGAGTGAAAAATATTTTTCCTGTAAAAATTTTTATTTATATTTTATCTAAAAATTGTTTCTTTTCTCTAAAAAAATCTTTATTTTATCTTAATATTCTTTTATTTTAAGTGAGGTTATTTGAAAAGAATATTTTTTTGAAAATATTCTTTTCAAATAACCTCACTTTTAAAAAAATGTGACTCATCACGTTTTTAAAATACAACGTTCATTTGTGAAATGAGTAACTTCTTAACTAGAATTACTGATTTTTCCATGACTATCTAAAGAAAAAAATAATTTCCAGACCTTTCCAGGTTTTCCACAACTTTAGCCAATATTAACAAAATTTCCAGATTTTCAAGGTACAGTACGGACCTTGTCCAATGTTTGTAAATAATATTTTTTACATATTTTAGTTCTAAATTTTAATAACACTATTTTTAAAAATAATATCATCTATAAAAATATTGTATTACCTTCGTCTATTAGATAAATTTAAATAAACGTTTATATGAATAATAATAAATCACCAGCAACTGTTAAAACTTTAAACTGATATGATTACTAATATAATACAAATACTGTTGTTTTTTTCAACATTTAATTTCAAATGGTTTTCAAAGTTGGTGACACCAACTTTGAAATCCAACAAGAAATTTTTGTTACGTTCATAAACTTAAATGTTCTCAAAACAACTAAAAAACCTGGCCAGTTTTTCACAACTAAATATATTTTCTGTGGTCAGTATTCGAGAACGATCGCTCCTGCTTCCTGACCAAGCTTGTGACATGTTGATTATTACACAACAAAATGTTAATTAACATTCTGACTTTTTGACCATAATATATGAAAAAGTCTTTAAAATTGTAAAAGTTAAAGCTATGAATAAAGATTTTCAATCATCAGACATAAAGACTTTTATATAAAAACTTACCATTTAATAAATTTTGTTCATTCAACTTCTCAGAGCAAACATTGAACTTCTGTAAAGAGTTTTGAGTTACAGGTAAATCCCAAAGTTTAATAATATTTTTTGTTTTATTATAAGAAATTGAGGATAAATCATCAACACCAAGATTTTTACACAACTTTTTGTCTCTTTGTCATTTTCGCTGTCTTCCTTTTTTTTCTCCAGAGCAGATGTTTAGCCTTCTGCTAAGTTTAATCTTGTATTGCTTTAAAAATCTATAAATCAAATCATTAATAATTAAGTTATAACTAAAGTTAATGTATAAGATTAAAGTTGTTAACTGTTGTACACACACTAAATATATAAAATATCCAGAGATATTAAATTAAATAATAATAAAACCAAGAATTATGTCCCTCTGCCTTAGAAAGATGGAATATATAAAGGGTTGTTTCGATTTAAATCATGACTTAAATCAGACAAATAAAAATAATGATTTAAATTGAGTTTTTTTATTTTAATTGTTTTTAATGGTAATCCTACAGTTACGCGGCTTAAAAAATTTTTATTTTTTTTAAGATAATTGAAATAATAAAATGAAAAAAGATTGCTAGCCCATGCCAAACCCTCATTCGATGTAGCAGCACTTCCTTGTAGCAGCAGGCTATAAGATAGTTGATGTAGCAAAACCCCCTGGCACAACAAGCGCAAAAATATAATTATTTTAGGCTGCGTATCTGTAGCTTTACCGTTTTTAATGATTATTTATTGATTTAATCTTATAATTCAATTAATTATTATAGACTAGTCATTGGTCTTAAAATAAAATGTCTGGCAATATTAGAAAGCTCTACATAAGTAGAATATAAATTCTAGTAACATCACTTTTTGTACAGTTTTAATATATTAGTAGATGGGCTTTCACAATCAAACACAGAAAAATCAAACAAAAGAGTCATACTTAAAATGTAAAATATCAGCTTCTAATAACTTCAATGCCACATATATATTATTGATACCTTTAATAATATATTTTATAATAGCTATACAATCTAAACTATTATAAACAAATTATGAAAAAAAAAGTTATAGTGTATGACATTTGAAATGTTTCATTTATTTAATAAAAAAGACATTTAAAATGTCTTCTTTATTAAATAAATCGAACATTTGAAATGTTTCATTTATTTAATAAAGATTATTAAATAAATCAAACATTTGAAATGCCAATAGAGTAATAAAAATAAAATAATAAATTTAAGATCTTACACAAAAATAATTTAATTATTGCCTTTATTATTACATTAATAATTTAGATTGTAGTAAAAAATGTTTTGTAGTATAAGATATTTTTTTAAAAATTTGTTAACATTTAAATAATATTATTTAAATGTTAACAAATATCTTATTATTTAAAAAAACAAAACATCAAGTCACGAGAATTTCTTGAAGTTTGTTTCTTATAAGGAAGCTTTTTAAATTCTTAGAAGATTAATAAATATAGCTTCTTCTTTTTATAATTAAAAAAAAAAAATGAAAACAAAACCTTTTTTTATTCTGTCAAACGATACCATTTTAAAAAATGTTTCTAAAGTAAATACTAATCCGTAACTACATTGGCCGAATATTGGCTACGGTATAAATGTAAGAACAGATTTTTAAAGCAAAATATTAAGCCTAAAACATTGGCTAAATGCTGGCCCAATATTGTACGATATTTGCGAAAAACCGATTTGCAAAATTGAAAATAAAACGCCGAAAAAAAACATTGGCTAAATGTTGGCCCAACGGAATAAACTTGCCAATGTTAAAACTTACATTGGGCCAATGTAAGCTTGCTGTCTGGGACATTACCAAAGGCAATCTAAATCAGCTATTGCTTACAATTGCTTTTAATTTGAGAGTGTTGCAAATTATCTAGGCTAGCTATAACAAATATTCTCAAACTCAAAATGTTTTAGTGATGTATATAATTTATATATGGGAGTAATAAGTGTGAAGTTCTGAAAAGAAATTAGATAATTCTTTGTTTTCTTGCTAAATGATAAGATTAATGAGAACTTATTTTGAACAAAATTATACCAAGTTAATAATATTCTATTGATATTACTAGGTAAATTTTAAAACTGTTTTGAAAAATCTATAGTTTGAGAATCACAGCGTAGTCAAGTTTTACCATCTGGTTTATAAATTGCTACAATGCTTGTCTTTTTTATATCTTAGAGTTATAAAAACCATTAGGAAAACAAGCTAATTTTTGAACATTTTTATTTTTAAGATATGGTTTTGAAAATCAGGGAGGTTTTGGTTCGGGAAGTTTTTTAAAAGTATAAGTACTATATTGACAAAATTGGATAGAAAAAAACATACTTTTTTCTCGTATTAATTATTGGTTTTTTATGCAATACACGATTTCACTTTTATTATTCGATACGTTTTTTGACATACGCGCAAAAAACATACCTCTCTTTCAAAATCAGCGAATCAGATTGCGCATATCTCTGCCTATTCTGAGCCTCTATAAAATGGTTTCCAAAAATATGCTCAGAATAATTTTGCTTTACACACTAACCGACTGAGTTCTAAGCCAAAACATTGATAATAACGATAAAATGAGCTTACATCTTTTTTAAAACACTTAAGTTATTTTGTAACTGTACTTTCATTATTTTTGTTTACTTGGATTATTTATTGAATTTTCAAGTATTTTATTAATTGCATTCATTACCTAATGTTGTTTTAAAACATTGTTTTATAAAAATGAGTAACTTTCATTTTATAAGATAGTGTTTTAATTCAGTTAGGTAATCGAAACTGAGAAAAAGCTACAGGACCGTTTTAAACTTTAGTGTAGCACTTAATAGTAAGACAATGGAAAAGTTAACGTCGGATTTATCGCCAATTGGTAAGATATTTTGAGTTTTTTCAAGTCAAATTTTCTTAAGAAAATGTTAATGTTATAATGTTTTATGCAATCAAAGACGTTTATCTCAAATTATTTAATGAACTCTTTTGATAAAAGTATAGTAATTTTGAATTTAATTAATATTAAATTGCAAATTTTTTATAACCAACATTGAAATATTTTCTTTAGATTACTCCATATATCTTCATCGTTTAAATACATATGCAATAAATATGTGGCCTAAATCAGCCCCAGAGTTTGTAAAATATTTAGCTGAAGCAGGATTCGTTTTCACAGGAAAAAATGATTTAGTGTATTGTTTTGAATGCAAAATAGAACTTTCTGGTTGGTTAGAGGACCATAATCCAATTCAACGTCATAAGGATGTTAATTCAAATTGTCCTTTTATAATTCAGCAATCCAAAAAAAAACTGGTTAATGATGATAAAAATGATGATAAGTAAATTAGTACTTTTGTCTATTATAAAATCTTATTATACAATAACAAAATAATTGTTTTTATTTATTTTATTAAAAGTTTATTTTAATATTATTATTTCCTTGTAAATTTTGTAAAACACGTGGGCATGTTTTGGTTTCTTACAAAATATTTTTGATGACTGGTATTATATTTATTATCATAATAATTAATAATTACATAGCCTATATCTAAAACATTTAAATTTTTTTTAAATTTATATATTTTGTCACTTGATCCACGGCTAAAACTCTTGATATATGTACACTTCACAGATAATTTATCAAAATTTTACAGTATTAAATGCAATAATATAGTAAATAATATAAAAAATAGCTTGTTTTTTAGTTTCTTTTAGGTTTATGTTTTTATTACTTGAAATAATCATCCGAAAAATATTGCATAGGAAACTCAAACAGCATTGTAAAATTAAAACCCATAAATTTCAAGTAATTTTGTATCAATAATATTAATAAAAGAAAATAATTTTAATAGGCTTTACAATCCAAATATGAAATCTGAGGATAAACGCTATCAGTCTTTTGGAATGTGTCCACCTGAAAAACACTGGCCATCACCAGAAAAATTAGCCAAATCAGGAATGTACTATGATTATAGCAAAAAAATGATGGTCTGTTTTTGTTGTGGTTTCATGGTGGATTCATGGGAAAGTGCTGAGCAAGATCCTTATGTGAAACATAAGCGGTATTTTTTAGTGTTTGTTTACTATTCCAAATTTTTTTAACGACTTAAACTACTCTGTGAAAAAAGACAAGAAATAAACTACTAGCTAGCAAGTGACTATAATTAAAGATAATGGTAGTTACTAGCTACTATTGCTAGCTACTACTACTATACTACTATTTACCTACTATTAGTGAGTTATTTTCTTGTTATTATTGTTGGATTTACTAATTTCCCTAGCAAAAAAAAGTTATTAATTGAACATAATGCAACTTTAAAGCCATTAATAACAACGTTTAACAAATTACCGAAATTGTATCATATAGTTACAACTACCTTTATCCTCAAAGCATGGCTAACTAGAAACCAAATTATGTTTAAAATTTTTTTAGCCAAATAGCTGTTTTTGTTATTACAAATTTATCTATTGCTAGCTAGCTAGTTGCTATCTGATTTTCCAGAGTTGATATTTAGCTGTGTTGAGAGTAACTTGTTTTTCTATTTTTGTTTTTAGTGCTGAGTCAAGTTGCTCATTTATAAAACGTGTACAAAATAAGGATAACTTTGTTGAAGAAAAAACGACAATTTCAAATCCTAATTTAATAGAAAGATTTCCTTCTTATAAAACTGAATGGACTAAACCAGCAATACTAATTGACTACTCCAATGAGCATACTCGGCTGCAAACATTTTTTAGTTATCCTAGAAACTCTCCAGTATCCGCTGATTCTTTAGTTAAGGCTGGATTTTATTACTTGGGTAGGAATGATGAAGTAATGTGTTATAAGTGTTCAGTTAGTTTAAAAGACTTTGAAATTGGTGACACTGCCTGGGGTGAACATAGGCGGCATTCACCAGCTTGCCCACTTGTTAAAAATTATTTAAACTCAAATAATTCAAAAAATACATATTCTGGAACAAGTTCTTTTTCAAACCGAGTGGTTGGTTCCGTTAAGGAGTGCAATGAAAGTCCTATTCAAAATGCAAATTTTTTAAGAAATCTTTCTGCAGACTCATCACTATCCAATTTTTCATCATTCGAAAGTGAAAATCTGTTAAACACAGGGCGTAAAGCTTATTCAGAAAGCGATTTAAAATCAATACAGAATTTATCTCATTCTATAGATTTATCTTGTGTAATATGTATGGACAATAATAAAGAAATGATATTTTTACCGTGTGCACACCTAATTGCATGTAGTTCATGTGCAAAAGGTCAAGCTTTTTGTCCAATGTGCAGGTCTCCTATTGTTAGTACATTAAAAACATATATGAGTTGAGATTTACATTTTTTTATCGTAGGTGATGTAAAAATAAAACAAAATTATAGATGTATAAATATTGCTTTCAAATTTAAGTTCATTAGTTGTCATTTATACTTTTGAAGTATTAAAAATGAAGTAAATGAAGTATTAAAATAAGCATACTTAAAAAAAAAATTCAAAATTGTGAAAGCTTCAAGAATCTCACTATGTTCCATTTAATATTATTAAATGCAGTTACACAAAATTAAAATAAAATATCAATGTTGTATAGAGTAAAACATGGTAAAATGAAATAGCGGGTAGAACGAAATAGTTATGACAATATTTATTCTTTCGCTTTTAACTAACTATTGCATAATTTTTTTGTAAATATTTTTTGATTATATTGTAGAGAATATTTTTTGAATGCGTAAAAAGATTTTTTTATTTGTTTGAAAAGAAAACTTAAAATTCTCGGAAATTAAATTCGTTAACATTGTTTTAACTTAAAATGTTTACTGATACAACTATTTACGCTGATCAAGAATATTTTTTCAAAATTAAATTTAAAAAAAAGTTATGAGTTAAAAACGGAAAATGAGTGTTGCGGGGTTGAGTCAATACGCTAATAAATAAATAAATACGAAGCAATAGCTCATTTCTTAAAAGCGACTTTTTTTTATTAGGTCTCAAATGACCAATAAATCTCCAACTATAAATTTTTTGTATAAATTTCAAATTCTAACTGAATTTAAATGACTTTTACTTACTGCTTTTATAAAATGGTTCTTATAAATGAATGAAATTCGCTAGTTACTCTCTTAATTTACTTACCAGCTCACTCGTCGCACATTCTACAGCCACTACATTCTACAGATGTTGATGTTTATTGCAATGTCAAAAGAGTTTGGCGCAAATTACTTCAACAGTTATATGCAGAGACAAAGTTTAGCAACTTGTCAAAAGAATGTTTCAGTCATCTGCAAAAAAAACTTTTCAGCTCTGGTGAAGTTTTTACACCAGATAGTCATGGGTTTCAGAATACTGGCTTGTTTCCACTCGACATCGATAAAATCGATAAGTCAAAGTTGCAAATTTCTAATACATTTGAAACACTGAGATCTAAACCTGAGCCTTCATCATCTCAACAACCAGAATCTATGATAGTGCCATCACCAAATCTAGCACCAGGAACTACACTACCTCAGAATTTACACCAACAACATTTAGCATCAGCATATGTCACATAACATCAGCTCCAAAGTTATCTCAAAAGTTACCTTGTCTGCAAACAACCTTCAATATTGTAGTAGCTCCGGCTATTCAAAAGGAAATTCAAAAAGAGGTTGCAAAACAACTGCAATCAGCCCAATCACTTGCACAGCTTTTTATTACACAGCTTTTTATTACACAGCTTTGCACAAATATTTCGTATCCAACACGCTGACACAAAAAAAAGAAAAAATGTAGATGTGCCAAGATTCGAAGGGGAGTGTCTCAACAAACCTGAAATACTTGAAAGGTTGAAAGATGTTGAGAGCAAAAAAGCAACAAAACAAGCTAAAAAACAACCTAAGCTCTAATGGAGAACAGCAAATAAACCAAGCAACAAGTCCAACAAAAAATTAGCTGCAAACCAATTCAAGTGTAAAAAGTGCCGAAAAGTTTTGGGCGAAACTTCTGCAAGTCAAAATATGGAATGGTGCCAGTGCACAGTGGGTCAGAAGCCGGCAAAACCATACAAAAAAGTTTTGAAATTTTGAAATTTTGAAAAAGACAAATTTTGCTCAATATATTAATAAGCCAGAAATTATATTTTATTAAAAAATAATTTTTCAATAAAACGCCATATTTGTTGTTTAAATATTTCCTTAAATACTTTTTATCAATAACAACAAAAAAGTGTGAAAATTTTATTTTTTTACATCTTTTGAAAACTTTGATTTCTTATTTTAAAGAAGTTTAAGTTTATTTTTTAACTTATAAATGACTTATATAGTATTATGTTAATATTTAAATCATATAAAAAAAAATATTTTTTGCATTTTATATAAATATTTTCAACAATGCAAACATCAAAAATTTTGAGTGATAAGTTTTTATTTTTTTCAAAAATATCATTTAAAACCATCGGATCAAGCTGTATCAACCGCTTAAAATAATATATAATTGAATACCAATATGACATTGATCTTGTGGTATAAAAATTGGCTGCCTATAGCTGCCTAAACGAATACACTTTTAAATTCAATTAACTACGTCCACGTTTCTTGTTAATGCGTTTTTGATCGATAACAAAAAATTTAAGAAGATTTAAAATTTAAAAACTGCAGTTTGACTTTATGATAATTTTTATTAAAGACATAAGTTTAAAATCAAATATTTTTGTATTTTTTAATTGTTTTCCAGTAACTTTCTCGTATTTACTCAATGAACATTTAGATCGCATTGAAACCTGAATGAATTATATACTTCTACGTAGTACAGGTTTGGGGCATAATATTTATTATTTGTTTTATAATTTCCGAAAACAATAAAATTATATGTAATCGATAAAAAACACGATAACAACCAATGAGAAATAAAGGAAAGGAACTGAGTTTCATAGTTACTGCTCGTAAAAAAATTACTTTATTAAAAACATTTAAAATTACTTTCTTTCAAATTAAAAGTATTTTATTGAACAGACAATTGTTTAAAAATGGATAGGAGATGTCTTATGAATTATGTAATGGAAAATAATTTACTACAAAATGATGATTTACATGCAAAGATTTTGAGTTTTGTTTTCCAAAACAATTTTGAAGAATCTAATGATAACTTGTCAATTATTTCGAAATTCATTTACCAAGCTAAAAACAAGTGGAAAAAATCGAATAGAACAAGTGCAGTATTTGAAAAAAGATATAAAGTTTGGTTAAACCAAACTATATTTGACTGTAAAAAAAAAAAATCGAAACAAAAACCTGTGGTATGTTTACTTAAACTATGTATAAATTTATTATAATGTGTATACTTTATTTGTATTATTATTACGACGATTTAATAATTGATAAATAATATTATACTTTAGGGTGGACGCCCTTTGATTTTGTTTGAAGATGCGTCTGTGAGAACTAAAGTTCGCATAATTAAAGAGCTTTTGAGTAAATATAATTTAAACGAACTTTTATATGCAGCAAGTAAAAGTTTGAAAAGGGATAAAAGGTTTATAGAAGCAAAAGTGGTTAAAAAATATACAATAAAGAATTAATGACAGAATCACTTATTTCAGAACAATCATTAGCGTTAGTCTTAGATGCTAATTTATCCAAAGAAACTTATCAGCATTTAAGAAACAATGCTCTTCCATTCAGCTCTCTATACCCATCCTATCATATTGTAAAAGAGGCTAAAAATAAATGCTACCCTGAAAACATTCAGGTCAGTGACTACTCTGCAGAGGTTCTATTACAAGCTCTTCTTTTTCATACTGCATCAAGAATATGTTCAGCTTATAGTGTTGTGTTAAATTCACCTGTGCTTAAAGATTGTACTAAACTATTTATAATATACAAAGCTGGTTTTGATGGTGCAACAGGACAATCTGTTTATAAACAACTGTCAGATGTTTCTAGTGAACTTCATACAGATGAATCACTTTTCATAACTTGCTTGGTTCCTCTAGAACTATATTGTTTCAAAGATGGCAAAAAACAGGTTGTTTGGAGAAATCCAAAACCATCGTCAACTAATTACTGCAGACCTCTGAGATTTAAATATAGAAAAGAATCAAATGAAGTAATTCTTGCAGAATATGAGTCAATTATGGCTTCTATTAAAGAGATAACATTATCTGTTGTACCTGTTTTATTGGAGGACGGTATAACAAAGGAAGTTGAAATACAACATAATTAACAATGATAGATGGAAAAAATCAAACTATTATTTCCACAGCAATCAACTCATACCAATGCTGTTCAGTGTGTGGTGCATCTCCAATCGAAATGAACAATTTATCTTTAGTTGTTCAAAAAAAAAATTTAGAAGGCAATATAAAACATGGCGTTTTAACTTTGCATGCTTGGATAAGGTTTTTAGAATGTATGCTCCATATCTCTTATAAGATACCGATTATGAAGTGGCAGGCTAGAAATCAAGAAGAAAAAAATACTGTTATACTGAGAAAGCTTGAAGTCTGTGCTGAATTTCGAACAAGGATAGGTCTTGTCATAGACTAACCGAGAATAGGTGGGGCAGGTACATCAAACGATGGCAACACAGCTAGGCGATTTTTTCAGCAATACGATATCTCAGGTATATAATGAACATCGATGTAGATCTTATGAAAAGGCTTCATATTATTCTGGCCACAATATCAAGTGGTTATGAAATTAACTCATCCAAACTTAAAACATTCTGTTGGGAAACTGCTTCGCTCAATGTATTCCTGTACCCTTGGTATCCTATGACTCAAACACTTTTTTTTTTTTTTTTTTTTTTTTAAGTTGATTAAGGTGCCCCAAGAAATCCTTACGGTCTTATCACAGAGCACCGCGGAAGTTCATTTAATAGGAGGTACACGCCTCCTTCTCAACCAATGTCGCACAACTTGCGCAGAGGTGGGGTTTGAACCACGGATCTTACGTTTCTGAGGCAAGTGCGCTACCACTGCGCCACGGCTGCACTTCATAAGAGTTTGATTCATGGCTATGAAGTCATTGAACTATTTACTCTTCCATTAGGTATGTTTTCTGAAAAGGCTCAAGAGGCTACCAATAAGGTTTTTAAGATTTTTCGTGAAAATTTCAAAAGAAAATGTGATCGGAAAAAAAACAATATAGACCTTTTTCACCGCCTTTTATGTGCATCTGATCCTTTAACTTGCACATTAAGAAAGAAGATACATAAAAAAAAAAAAAGTCTACCATCTGGTGTACTTGAACTATTGCAAGAGCCAACGATAGAATACTCTGCGTAAAACATAAATTTGAATAATATCCTTGTTGTTAATTTTGTTGGGTAAAAACGGAATTTTTTATAAATGGAAAATAAAT